ATTCGAGCTCGGTACCGCGTGAGAAGAGGGAAAAGGGAACGCGTTCCAAAAAGGGCGTGTCACTTTGCAACCTGCGGCGCGCCCACGTTTTATTGAATAGACAATAACAACTAGACTAGAATTAGACTGAGTAAGACTCAGTTAATCTGAGTAAATGTAGGCCAGTGAACCCGTTTCGAGTGTGTGTGCGCCTTTAACCCCTTCGTGGCGACACCTCAACGATAGGGCGCGCTTGCACGAAGAGAGAGAAAATTGGCGGGAATTTGAATATGAGAAAGCAATAAAAGACTAATAACAAAGGAAAATAAAGAGAATAAAGTGGGAAATAGGAAGATTTCTGAGGAGTAAGCCCAGTGGGCTGGGCCTAGAGGTCCTCAGAATATCTTAAAGTTGTTGAGTCGGTGAATAGCCACGTGGACACGACAACACAAGTGCTTGCATAAAAATTGGAGCAGTGGAAGAGAAAAAAACTTGTGGGTGTGGCCATCGGTTCCCGCAACGAAAATAGAAAACTAGATTTATTAGAATACTCTGAATTTCAGGAAAACCCATTCAAACGTCGAATTTGTGAAGTGTTTTCGGAAGATGGACGAGGAAATTTATCGTTCGACGACTTTCTGGATATGTTTTCAGTCTTCTCAGAAATGGCTCCGCTCCAGTTGAAACTGAAATATGCTTTCAGAATTTACGGTGAGTGAATTGAAGAAGCGATCCGACTATAACACTTTCTTCAGACTACGATGGAGACGAATTGCTGGGTCACGACGATTTAAGCAAAATGATTCGAAGCTTAACGAGAGATGAGCTGAGCGATGTAGAAGTCGAATTCATTATTGAGAGAATAATTGAAGAAGCTGATTTGGATGGAGATTCCAGCATTAACTTTGCCGAATTTGAGCATGTTGTTTCACGATCACCTGATTTTATTAGAACTTTTCATATCAGAATCTGAGTACGGGATTTTATGAACTTTTACTTCCATTTTGTTTTATTTGATTAACTTCATTAGAACCATTGAAGTTGTACAAAAAAGTAAAGGTTCGATAAAAAGTGCTGGGTCGGGTGGTCAGGAATTGGGGATCAGTAAAGGGGGAGGGGGGTTGGGGCGACAAATAAATGGCTGTTATCATTAGAGTGATGGATCACAAAAAGCCAAAGATAATTGGGATGGAGGGTGACCGCTGTGAAAATTTACAGAGACCATGGAAAAAGGGGTGTATGAATAATAAGAGAATGGATAAGACAAGTAGAAGAAGTTCGAACTTGTGCTTAATCCTCGCACCAGGCATTCTCCTTGCGGATTTGCTCCTCCTCCTCTGGAGTGAAATCATTCTTGATGTTGAATGTGCGACGAATTTCTTCTGGAGACTTTCCCTTGATCATGTTAGCAACAGTTTTGCAGGTGACATCGAGAAGTCCCTTGATATCCAAGTAGTTAGCAGCCAAGATGAGCTCGAAAAGAGTTCCTTGGTCGACTTTGAGGAACTCGACATCCCAGCTGGCGATGTCATCAGTGCGCTTCTCACGATTGTCCTGATCATCGGCTGGAGCAGTATCTTGATAGTGGTATTGGCACCAGCTGATAACCTTCTTCAGAATTGGGGAGCTCACGTTCTGCACTGGGATTGGATCAGTGACTCCATTGGAGTCATCGTCATCGAGTCCAAGGTCCTGGAGAAGAGTGTTGATTGTAGTGGAGAGACGGATCACCTCACGTGGAACCTGAAAACCAATTTATGACAACAGATCAGACCCTCGGATGAGCGTGCTGAAAATTTAACAGCTTGCTCTTAAATAAATTCTAATCATGTGTCGTCTGACCAGTTGTTCAGTGAGTAAAACGTTCAATTTCAACTGATGCGTAGAGACTACAGCGCGGTTTATCGAACACACTCTCTGGCCTGTTTCTCGCTGTTATTGAATTTCGGGGATGATGTACTCACAGTGAAAGTTTCGTTGTCCGAAGACGAGATCTTGATCATGCGTTGCTCAGTCTTTGCCTCGGTCATTGTTACTGCTTCGACTGAAAAATGAAGTAAGTATAAGAAAAATGTTGCAATGAGAGGAGAATGAGAAAGAAAGAAAACAGAAAATCAATTGAATGATAAAGACGGGGAAGGAGTCTAGAAATGATGTATCGACAGAAACCAAGGTAGTTATACCAAGCAATGTGACACACGAGACTGAGGAAGAACGCGAATGTGAGTGGTGAGCGCTGAGAAATCAATGGAGAGGCGTGTGTGGCGGGAAACGAGAGAGTGAGAGAGAAAAAGAAGTGAAACGCGTAGTTAGAGACACAGAGCAATCTATTGATTGTTCCCGGTGTGAGCCGATGGAGCGTTGAGGATAAAGGTGACTGCGCGTAAGAGAATATTTAATTTCTCTCGCACTGCTTACATTGAGTCTAGATAATTGTGTTCCATGTGAGAACCTACGAGGAACATTGAGCTGAATGTGAAACTTGCGAAACTCATTTCAAATGATATCACTAGGAAAAAGCCATACGTTTTTTAGACTCACAAAATGTGAATCAGTGAAGAGAAGAAAATGGGAGAATAATATATTTTCCGTATCATCACTGATAAGACTCAAACAGTTGAATGCCGCATTGGCGCCGCCCTAATCAATAGTTATGGAAGGAAGAAATGGTTGAGAAATATCAAAAGAAATAGGGTGAAGAACCACATCATTAATGTTTTGGAATGGTTATATAAGGTTCATTTAGTGAAATATTTCGCAATCTTACATGAAAAAGTCTTGTGAAACGTCATAATTTTGAGTCCAAAATCGATACAATCTGAGGTTAGGAATGAGCAAGTATTCTAAAACCGAGAGCAAAACTCTTCTCGCGCTACAAGCAAATCAATTTTGGTATCTTTTTTGCGAACTTGAATGCGAATAAGACAGTGAATGTGACTGAAGAAAGAAAATGAGCTATTTATTATTGTTGTGCGAAAAATTGGAGTCGAGACGCAGACAGTTGAACAAAGAATTTCTCTGCGTCTCCACCGAGTATGTGCTATTTAGGCTTGCCGCTTCGAGGTGCATACCGTACTCAGACTGCAAAAAATACTCACTAACTCCAATTTTTTCGGACAACAATAATATAATCCTCCACAAATGGGCCCAAAAAACTAGAATCTTCCGTTAAAAAACAAAATTCAGTAACTCTTGCTCATTCTAAACGCAATGTTTGCGAAAAAGTCATATTCGCCTAAAAACTGAGAGGAAGAAGTGTCGGATCCCGGACTGATACGAGAAACACACATTATATGCCTTAGTAACAGATTTAGCATCAAAATTCGACGTATGAAAGAGAGGTTTGTCTGAAAAGGTGCCGTCGAAAAATCTCGAACTTGTTTCGGCCTTGCCAAGGCCCGCAATACGAACGCGCGGTTTTTGCGGAGTTTTGTGTATCGTAGTCTCATGAAAAATAGAGACATCGGAAAAACAAAAATAGCCTATTCTTTTTGCAAAAAAGATAAATATTTGTACGATCGGTTAAATTTAGCTAGAAAACGTTTTGACGATGCTAGAAAATGAATACTGTTTTTTAATCTTTCCTATATGGGCCACAAGTTTTTGACAGCTTTCCAAGAGTACACTTCGAGACCGTACAAATCCGCAAGAATTGAAATCCGCAAGAAACGAAAGCGCAAGAAACGAATCGGCAAAAACGCTAAACCGTGCACAGTTTTGCTGAAATCGCGTGCGCAGGCTGCAAAAAAGGGCGG